GAAAAATTCAGGTAAAGCTTTCAGATGTAATTCTATTCCTTTACTCATTCGAGATCCAAGTGACTGCATGAAATGGATGCTTTGAGTCAGTCAAATTTTTACTATTCTGAGTTCTTCATGCCGAGGCATAACATAGTGAAGGTGGTATAATTTATAATATTGAAATCCATAAAAATAGGACTTTTCTTATCTTTGGATAACAGGATCCTCTGAATTCAACCACTGGTCTATTCGATTTAGAACTCTTTTCTTCATAAGATTACTTTTCTACTTACAAAAGGATACGGTTACGGTTTAATTAATGTGTTAAGCTTACTTTTGATTAACATTCTTCTTTGATATTTTCAGACAAAAATCCCCTATTAAAGAGCATGATTTACGTGGTTATCATAATTATGTTATAATTTTTGGAATGATACCTGTAATTTCTCGTTGTTATTCAGGGCCGAATTGCTCCACCTCTGTTGGCAGATAGGTTCCTATGTAGATGCCTCGGTACTGTTGAATACTCATGATGTTATATTAACCTTGGTGACTTTCACAGAAATCTGGGACATGCGTTTCGTGCTATTTGGGACTCGTCAACTGAATTCATTGAGGCATCTGCATAGGAACCCATTTACCAACAGAGGTTGAGCAATTCTGCCCTGTATAGCAGTGCCAAATTGCAAGTATCATTACAACAACTGACACCCGTCGTACGAGAGGTGGCTATCGTGCCCCAGTGGTTTAGTGGGTTACATCCCGGCGCTTGAAGTGAAGAGTACTGGATCCGAACATCGGTGGGAAAAACATGACTCACTGGGGTGCAGGTGCATGCAGTTGACGAGTCTTAAACAGGAAGGAACTGACGTCCTGGATTCCTCTGCTAGTCATCAAAACCAAAACAACATTATACTCAAATTTTTATCTATGTAGTAATCAATCTAATGTTCAGGACTTAAGTATTGACTGCAATTTATTGATTCAGTTTGAAAGTTGGTTACCGTATGAAGGCAAACATTATACAATGTAGTTTGCATAGTGATGAATATCTGTTCTAATTAGCTGTCTGACTTTAGCAGCAATTGACTCAAGGTTGAATCGTAGGTGGAAAACATGTCCTTGAGTGTGAAGGAATATTGCTCTTGATCAGTACTAATAATCATGAAACACTTAATTGCACGTGAGAAACTTCAAAGCTAATTAATTCCGTAACTATCCGTCAGTTGTATATTAGAAAGATAGGCATTTCAGTAATATGTCTTCAAGAAATAATTAACTAAATCTCAAGTGATCCTTGCATTGTAGCTCAATCAGATTTATATAATCGAGACGTTTTAAGGTAGTAGTTATCACGGACTGATATCAGTTGGAGAAACATTGAAAATCTGATAGAACTGGACAGCCACATTGTCCTAATAAGGGACTCCTCAGGAATAAGCCTCCACGGACTTCAGGTTTCATAGCGAATGCGTCAACCATTTGGCCATTGGGTCGGAGTTCAGTTGTTTGCAACGATAGGGGCATATTTATGGATACTTGCAAACGGATAGCCCTTCAAACATTGAATCCTATTTCATAGCCATGGTTCTAAATGTAGATGATACGTCTACAGTACTGAAATTGGAACGCATTAGTAGGTTCTTGACACATATAAATTAGACAGTGAATGCAATCCAATTTACCTATGACTTAGAAAGTGGTGAAGGTGAGCTAGCAATCTTGAACTGCAAGATTAAATGAAAATAATACGGAAGTTTAAAGACTAGTGTCTATAGGAAACCTTCCTATTCAAATTGCTACTTAGACTTTAAATCATTTCACACCATCTAAGTTAAAGTAGCCTTAGTTAAATGCTTAAGTTATAGGGTGAAAAAGCTTACAAGGAGGCTAGAAAATCTGCGACAAGGAATTAGACACATCAAGGATACCTCATATCTTAACAATTACCCACCTAAATTTATAAGTTCATAAGAAATCGAGAGAAAAATATTAGCAGTAGTAGTAACACATGCTATAATTTTATAGTAATAGTAATGATGGTGATGAGGTTGAGAGAGAATTCAAAGCCTCTACTGGGTTACCATGCAAAGAAGGCACCTCAAGAGCATTGCGAGGAATCTTCAATAAGTCTGGGATTAAAGTGACATTTAAACCAATAAAATCGTTTAGAGACAAGCCTCGTAGATCAAAAATCGCGTTGATGCAATTAAGCAAAGTGATTTGGTGTACCGAATTCCTTACGATGATTTCAAGGTCGAATACATACGTCAAAGTAGTCGACTAGGGTGGATCAGAATAACAGAGCACAAAAGCTTAGCTAAATCAAGATTAGTAGATTCTAATAAGATAAGAAATTTAGAGAAAAGCTCGGCTATAGCTCTGCACGCAATGACACACAATTACATAGTCGGGTAGGATAGAGTGACAGCGTTAAAAACCAACTCGGCTTGGTGGAGGGAGAGATTGATAACCAAATCTTTGTTTATCGAATCAACATCAATGATTCTGCATCTGTCACAGATACATGGAAAGTTAGAACTACATAAACTATGTCTCATAGTTGTAGAGTGACATGATATGAACATGGACAATAAACTGTATCCGAAACGCTCTTTAGTTAATGGTACTGTTTCACTGTATGACAATTCTAATAAACAGACTGACTAAAATGGAATTATAATCTACCACAGTGCCAAAGTCTTACTTAAATATTACTGATGATTTTTTCTTCTTCTATGCAAATGGGCTGATTAAAATTATGCGGAAGAGAGCAAAGTTATGAACTGAAAAGAATAGCCTAATCTTATGTAGAAGAAACAGAAAACTGGATGAAAAATAGTGTGGATGCATATGGTCTTCATTATAAGTGTTCATGAAGTTTTTCAATAAACTTTTCATTCACCTAAGTGTGAATATTTTCTCAGTATTCAGTTTACATTCAGTGTGCACTCATGACCCAACGACTAATCCATCTTAGGGTCTTCAGGTATCATAGCGACCACGTTACCATTAAGTCACTGAGTTGGACATCCAATGCTCAACGTTTTCCTACTTCTGATAATTCTTGATATAGTATAACCTTCATTCAATGCCATAGTTGAATATTTGTCTTCATGTTCAACTTAGTTTGTCCCACTGATCTCAAAGTATATCACTTATGAATACTGGGCAGTAATTCACTCTGGATTCTTATACCAGGACTAGTCAGTTTCCCAGTGCTTCCAGGTTTCTAGTTATTCACCAACTAGTGTCAGTCCGTGATGAATACTAACTGGAAATCAATAAATCCCCACAAACCTACAAAATGAATTATTCTCAAATAATTCAGTTCCTTATTATTATAAGTCCCTTGGGTTCCTAATGGAACATAGAGCTTCAGTAGCACATCTCCAGTGAACTCTGTCCTCTGAAATCTTTTGGACCTGGCTCCACCAATGCCCACAACCTCTCATTTCCTCCTCGCACCATCTCCTCCATGTCACCCTCACCACGGACACCCAACTCGTCGCTTCCCATGGGGATTCCACTCAAGCGACTGGCCTGGTGCGTGATGTCCCCAGTCGGCCTTCTTAGTGAATGCTCACTCCAATCCATCTCCACTTCCTTCCATTGCATATTTGTTGGGTGATAGGTTCTTGTTTGGTTCGTTGCCAGAGCTCCTTGTTGCTTATTCTCTCTGGCCATCCATCTGATGTTCAGTAGCGAGCATAAGCACTTGTTGATGAATGTCTGTAGTTTATTGGAAATCCCTTTCGTAACGCGCCGGCAAGTCTCTCAACCACCACACAGAAGCACTGACTTGACTGGGTTGGTGTTGAAAATCCGTATCTTGTTCCGCATGCTGAGTGCAGTGCAGAAGATCTCCACACTGGTTTCAGGTTAATGAACGCCTGTCTTGCTTTTCTGATTCTGACGTTGACATCCTCGTCTGTGCCTGTGCCGCCTGTAGTTGAGACAGTGCTTCCTAGATAAGTGAAGGAGGTTACTTCCTTTAAGTTTCTCCCGTTGATGGTGACTGGAGTATGTTGTTGTTGTTGGAGTTGTTGGTGCGGTATCTTCATCACCTCTGTCTTCTCTATATTCACCTGGAGTCCCGTCTTCGCTGCCCTGCCTCTTCTGCCAACTTGTTAGTTTTCGCCTGTAGATCTTCAAGTTTGTGTGACATGAGGCACAAGTCATTGGTGGCGAAGTGCAGATCTTCTAGGTTCTTTTCCACAGTTCAGCCATTGTATCCCCCTCTTCTCGCTGTCTACTGTTTGCTGCATGATCCAGTCCACCACAATCAGGAATATCATGGGTGATAGTAGGTAGTCAGTTCCTTATAAACACATAGTATTCAGGCTGGACAGGTGTAAGTAATCACTTCGTTCCGGCTTTTAAAGGTTTATTCAACTGTTGTACACTATTACAATTCTTCAGTGTATCATTCTATAGAATGATGTATTCTGTTACCTCTAAATCATACAGTATTCGCTAAATGGAGATTGGTTTATGAATCAGTGTGGGTTGAGCAAATAAATGCTATGTATCCTTTCGTCAGACAATCTTTTTCAGTATTGTAATGAGAAAGAATTCATTCATTTCAAGATGAACCCCATAACAAACTGAAATCAGCTGATGACTGCTGTGGATGAAACAGTACTGGACAGTTATTTACTATTCTATGCAGATTGATAAAACTGATATTAAAAACAAACAAACAAACAAAGAAACAGATAAATATCTCTTCCTGCTTTTTAAAGGTTTATTTAACTAACACATTACGCCGTTATTTATAGCTCCAAACCACAAATGTTTAAACATCAGTACTTTGTATTCCGTTGTACATCCGAACGTTTATCCTACGACCTGTTACAAGCGAAGGAAAACAAGTTCAAGCATTTTAGGATACAAGGACGATGAAAGTTACATTTAAATTATTCAAACTACACTTATAGTAATTAAGTTATATCATCGCCATACATTTAATTATCATCTTGTACTGTCCCCCCCCCCCCTCTGAATATTAATTTTAGATGTCTACATATAATACAGTTGATAGGCTAGTCAGTTTATCTGATATGAAAAGTATACATCTTCCTTTATTGCGCTATACACATCGTGATTATGGAAAAGGTTCATCAATTACGCACGCAGAGCAAATGTACCTCTCAAATGTTCCCAGCGATTTATCTTCTAATACCCCAATAAATTCAGTAATATTGTCTAATAACCTTTTATTAAATAAACATGAGAATTTATCCTGAATGAAATTATCACCAGTGACCATTAACTGTGTCAGTGACAATTCTTCTATCGTCAATCCTGACGATCTGTCATCTTTATCTGTAAAAGACTGAGTCAGCGAAGAAATATATTCCTTTTCAATTAGGTCTTCATCTTGGGCTTTACACTAATATATAGGTTTACAATTTAATCAAATTACCAATCACGTGGTGTTTCGGAAATAATGATGTAAATAATCAATAGGATTACTAAAATAGGAAATATGAATATTGATAGAAACAAGGGGAAGGGGAAGAGGTGCACAAAATAAACCTGGAAGTTACATAATGTTGACGGCCACGGTAATGAAAGTGGTCGAACAAACTTCTTTTGGATACAAAGGTGGATTGCAATCGCCTCTGCTATGTGAAGTAACCGAGTACGTAATCCATGAGGTAAATTAATTGGAATCTGATGGATGATTTTGAAGGCTTTTCCAGTAACCACTTGATGTCTTGTGTCAACTATGTGTGCAAGTATGGAGCTCTTTATAGTTCTAATTTGTCCTTTGTTCAACCATGATGGGTAGTGCTCAGAAATTCGACAATGGAACTGCCTCATTGTACGCCCAATGTAACTCGCTCCACAGGAGCAGCTGAATTGATAAATGCAAATAGAAGTGGCAGAATCAGGCAGTTTGTCTTTATTTTTTGCACCTAGAATAGGGCGGTTGTGTTTGGAATACCACCAGCTAACCAGTATACATATCAGTCTCCTCATTTACAGCATTCATGTCCTCAACATTCACCTAATGTATGTCTGACAACACCTGTACACTCTAGTCAAAATATTTCACGTCAGCCAACAAGTTCTAATTCTTCACTGTCATTCAATCTATTGGTGAATTAACCACGTTCTGCTCTACCTGTCAGTTCTTATCTACATAGTTTAGACCAGTCTGTAATTGGTACACCTAGTCGTCCCTCTTTGTCAGCTTAATATCCTCCACTGACTTCATTCTTCTTAGAATGATGAGCTCACTGAAGTTCTTTTCTTTTTTTGTCTATCTGAACAACAATTTTGACATTTAAATCGTTGAAAGCTAACAACAATCTCTATTAATAGTAATTATGAGTAAATAAATAACTTAATGAATGGAATCGGACTACCAGTGACTAGTAACCAACACTTAAGCTGTAATAGCATCACTAGAACTGTATATTATCACTTTTCTTTTTCTTCTTTCTTCACACCATTTTCTTTTTCTTCTTTTTCAGAATCAAAGCTGAGCTAAAATCAATTTTAGACTATTGAATTTATTCTTTTCCAAGTTTCTACCCATATATTAAATTTAAACCCTAAGAGAAGGGGAATTAACAAAAGCAACAATAACACCAATCATTAGACATTCTTTCAATAAAATACTTTACTTCCACTTCTTCTTTATTTAGTAAGTTTCTTTTCTTGTTTTTATTTTTCCCTCCAATTTTAAACTTGGCGGGGAAAAATAAAATAACATAACACAAGTAGTGAAGTAAAACAATATACCTTTTACTGATATTCAATAAATTTATGAAATGCAAAAATAAGTGAATATAACATGATTTTATTGATTTGTATTTTGAAGAACTATTGAGAATTGAAAATGTACTCTTCTACTTACTTTAAGATTCAGTTTGAAAATTTGAAGTATTTCTATGTGAGATTTACTGATAATTTGATGAATTGGTATATTTTTGTAGTTGAAGTTGCTCTTGATTATGATATTTGGTATAAAAACGAGAAGAGATTACAGATCACAAAATAATTTAGTTTAAGCATTCATATCCAATTATTTGATACTGTTTAACTTCGAGTGTTCCATGACCCGTAAGGTAGGGCATTTCTTAATTTACTTAGAGTAAGTTTGGGAAGCAACATGTTCACGGTATATTTCATGAATTAGTAAATCTCTACAAACCTCCAGATAGAATTAATCTACCGCTCATTGGTGACTAGCTTCCAAAGGGGATTCTTACAGTTCCAGTGAGAAGTCTTCACCAATGGAGTCAATCAAGTCCAACATGAGAACAGTTACTCAGAGATAACATTGGATGTAGGTCACGCTACATTGTGAACTAACAGAAATAGCAAATATGGACCATTGGATTCCGACCCAGTGGCTCAATGGTACCATGCTTGCTATGGAACCTGAAGGTTCTAGTTTTGATCCCTGGTGGGACTGCTGAGGAGTCACATACTGGGACGAAACAGCTGCCTAGTGCTCCCAGGTTTCCAATGTTTCTCCAGGTGGTGTCAGTCAGTAATGAATATCAGCTTGGAGTCGATCAACCAATCTTCACAAACCCCTAAATTGAGTTGTAAAATTACTCAGCTGTAAGAAATATCAATGTGAACCATGGAATTTATATACCTTTTGCAAACTGATCATCCTATTTTAGGTATACTGGTTCATCCAAGGCAGCAAGGCTGATTTAGGTGATTTAGACTATGTGGCTGCGCGAGTTGAGTTAGTCCGGACACGTTGCTGATAAACTCTGACCTAAACGGGTGAAATGGCTGTCCACTGATTAGATTATTCTGACCTGTCTGGCGGAATCTGCAGATCAACTTGAGTGATATTTTCTAACTACTCAAGTAGTTAGGAAAAGAAGTGGTAGGTAGTGGTAGCTCAAAATGGATAAAAAAGGTTAACGTTTGTTAATTTCGGAGGAAACAAGTAGAAAAAAGACTACAATCCTCACTATCAATAAGACGATACTAGGATTATATATCTCTTGTTTAGTTCCCATAAGAAAGTTGAAGCAAGCAAGACCGTATGAAACATAACTTTTCCGAATTAAGGACGTAACAAGATAGTCTGTAGCCTGTTAACTTGCTGCGACTAATAACCAAATCATTCTGTTATTTTCATTATTTATTAGTTTAAGATAGATGATTTCATTGTGTTTAATACACTAGATATATTAAATCCAATAAAATGACCAGAAAATGTATCTTATGCTACTATTTCGAAAACTTCATCTACTTACTATTGAAAGGTTTCCTTGATTCTTCAGCTTGTTTTAACAGTACAAAAGATTAACGAACTAGTTGGAATTGTATGGTTAAAAAGTATACTTACAGAAAGACTCGATATAAATCTTTGAATTGCAAGCTTATAACCAACAGTAGCACAGTGGAAAGCGGTAACTAATACTTTAAGGTTAGGTTGCAGAAATAATGGTAAGCTTCTAGTTGAAGGATAGGATGTTTTTTTGGAAAGGCCTCACAGACCTTAGAACTTCAGAAGGTTTTTGAAGTATTTTCAAGGAGAAACTTAGTGAGTAAGCGTTGTTTACTGTTGTCTCTGTTAGAACATTTCGTAATGATTTACGAACTAGGTTATGTGATCGATTAAACAGCATATTACTACAATATTCAAATACTCATAAGGTTAGGTGGATCCAAATTCATCCAGTATACTTGAAGAGGTTGGTAAAACCAGCTTTGAACATCTGTTAACATTTAAGTGGATCAGCATTCGAGGAAGCTTTCTTATGATTCAGATAGTTTTTAATAAATAACTATTGCAAATTAGCTGTTTGTGTTTTATTTTTATACAGCAGTGTTGAATGAAGTCATTCGTCAAATATAATTCATAGAAATAATCTAAATAATAGTCCATTTGATGGCTAGCAGTGGAATCCATGATGGGCGTTATGTTCTATTTAGGACTTCTCAGCTGAATATACTTGCACCCTAGTGAGATTCGAACTCAAAACCGGTTGCCTTAAACACCAGAGCACTTTCCACTAGGCCACTGAGGCAGAATGGCTATCACTTGTGCAAAAGTACCAGTTATTATCCATCAATAACCACTGCACGAGAGATAGCTATCAAGCCGCAATGGCATAGTGGATAACGCTTTGGCGTTTGAAGTGAGTCTCAGTAAGAACGACACTACTCACAAGGGATGCAGGTAGATCCAATCAACGAATCCTAAATGGGACGAAAAGTTTATCTTGGGTTCCACTGCCAGCCACTAAATATACTACAGTCCACATTAAATCCCATCTACCAACAGAGGTTCAGCTATTCGACCCGTTTAGAAAAAGGGAATTAAAAGTATCAATGAATGATCTAACTAGCTTGATTTCATTCTTATTTAAAGATAATTGCTAAGTGTAACCTTGAACATAACGACTCACTGTTGGGTATTTATTGCCAGAATTTATATGAAGTACTGGGTAAAAGTCTGTGTAACTTAAAAATCTTCAGGTGAAAACCAACAAGATAGCAGAAGAGGCAGGACAGTGAAGATGGAACTTCCTTTAGGTGGACGTTGAGAAGACAGAAGTGATGAAGATACTCAACCAACAACAACAACAACAACATGCACCAATCACCATCAGTGGGAGAAATCTAAACGAAGTTGTCTCTTTCATCTACCAGGGCAAGGTAGAATCGTTTCAACTACAGGCAGCAGTGGCGGCAGCACAGATTAGGGTGTCAAAGCAGTCAGGATCGGAAAGACAGCAAGACAGGCTTTCATTAATCTGAAATCACTGTGGAGATCTACTGTACTTGGCATAAGGAACAAGATCTGGATTTTCAACACTAATATCAGTCAAGTCAGTGCTTCTATGTAATGGTTGAGAAACTTTGCGGAGTGTAACGAAGGCAAATCCAACAAAGTGCAGACATATATGAACGGCTGATGCCTACGCTCACTCGATACTAACACTGAAGATGAGATAGAGGGCCAGAGCAATCAGAATAAGTAACGAGGAAGTGACTCAGTCTGACCTGGTAACGAACCAACCGAGAACTCATCTTCCAACAAATATGTAGAAGAAAGTGGAGGTGGATTGGATTGGATTGGATTTGACATACACTGAGAAGGCCGACTGGGAACATCACGCGCCAGACCGAGGGCACCGAGTGGAATCGAAAGGGGGAAGCGACGAGTTGGGCGTGTGAAGTGAAGGTGACATGAAGGTGATGGTGTGAGGGGGAAATGAGAATTTGTGGGCATTGTTGGATCCAGGTTGAAAATACT